AGGCATTAAATCCAGCTTTAAACTTTACACTTACTGGAAAAGAAAAACACAAACTCTACTCACCCTTTTCCTGTTGAGGGTCCGGTTCAGGTCTTAAATTCCATTTACACAATACTGAGGCACCTAGTACAGAGATGGGCATCTAGTAGGAAAGACCATTATGCAGCCCTGGCTGGCGTAGCTGAGTGGATTGAGTGCGGGCTGCGAACCAAAGCGTCACAGGTTCGATTCCCAGCCAGGGCACATGCCTGGGTTGCAGGCCATGGCCCCCAGCAACCGCACATTGATGTTTCTCTCTCTCTCTCTCTCTTTCTTTCTCCCTCCCTTCCCTCTCTAAAAATAAATAAATAAATCTTTTTTAAAAAAGACCATTATGCAAAAAATCCATCCATCCATCCATCCATTTATCTTTCCATCTCCACCCATCTATTTATCCCCTGAATCTATTCACTGATCACAGAAGGTAGCTTTTCTCTCATGTATCTAAATAATGAGAGCTTAATAGAGAGAAACACATGAGGAGCAGATGACCATATGATACATTTTTAAGAGCATGCTTTCAGATGAGTTCTACAAAATGGGGAAGATTAATAATAATGAGAAGAAAAAAGTATGCATAAATTAACCATCATTTTAATTAATTAAGAAATATTTATTGACCACTCATTTGTTACAAGGAACCATGTGAGGCACTGTGGAAGATACAAGAACATATAAGAAATCTCTGTCCTTAACATTCTTAATGATATACTTGAAAAGTTAAAGCAATGAATATATAAGAGGCTAAAAAAAGACCAATGAGTCAAATATTTCAAAACAGCAAGGTGAAAGATGTCATAAGATAATTCATTCCTTAGATCATAAGTCCCATGTTTAGAAGAGGGTCAGGAAATTTGGGCTAGTTGGCCAACTTAGAGCTTTAAGGAAGAGGCTTGAGCCAGACTCCAGATGACAGGCAAAATGACAGGGTTTTTTAAAAAGCCATAAATTTGAAAACTTAGAAGGATCACTCTGGGTGGTGTGGCTCAGTGGATTGATTGAGTACCGGCCTGCAAACCAAATTGTCACCGGTTCAATTCCTGGTCAGGGCACATCCCGGGGTTGCAGACTAGGTCCCTGGTAGGGCGTATGCAAGAGGCAACCACACATTGATGTTTTTCTCCCTCTCTTTCTTCTTCCTTTCCTCTCTCTAAAAATAAATAAATAAATAATCCCTTTTTTAGGATTTTATTTATTTATTTTTAGAGAAGGAAGGGAGGGAGATAGAGAGAGAGAGAGAGAGAAACATCAATGTGTGGTTGCTGTGGGTTATGGCCTGCAACCCAGGCATGTGCCCTGGCTGGGAATCGAACCTGTGACACTTTGGTTCGCAGCCCAGCGCTCAATCCACTGAGCTACGCCAGCCAGGGCTTAAATAATCTTTTTAAAAAAAACGTGGAAGGACCTTTGAAATCATCTAGCTCAACTCTATTATTTTACAGATAATTCAACTAAGGTCACAGAGTTATGTAACTTGGTCTGACTCCCTCTTACAGGTAGTAATGGCAGAAAAAAGGTTAAAGTGCCAGCCCACTCCAAGGCATATATCACATGGGATGGGAAGTGGAGAATTCCGTTCAGGAAAGGGCAAGGCATTCTGGAGAGTGAGTGTGATACACTACGCACAAGGATGCAGGGCCAAGAGCTCAGTGTAACTACTGTGCTTGAGGACCTCAGTGTGTATGCAAAGGGAAGAAAGCAGGAAAGGAGAGGGAGGGCGGGGACCTCTCTGGAGGAGTTTAAATGCAAATCTGCGGTCAGTGAAAGCCAGAATTCTGGTTTCTGGGACTGTCTTGAAGACTCCTTTTGACACAGTGGCAGCAGTATGAACTTTTCTAGAACAAATTCATTCTTTTCATATTAACAAGGACTCAAGTTTACCTGGGGCAGGGGAGCGCTGCGGGAGGGAGGTTGGGATGAGTACTGGCATGGCTGGCCAACCTACAGGGAGCAGGGGTGGTGGGTGATTAGTGCTGTGCCTGTCTACACCTCAGAAGCCCCGATTGAGTGGATTTAGGATGAGGGCTAAGGATCTATATTTTGAAAGCTCCTCAACAACTGTGATGATCATACAGTTTGGAAGGTCTTCTGGCTCACTCTTTATCAATCTATCCAGTACATACTACCACTTTGGAAAACTGTTTGAACAATATTTACTAAGTATATGCCCCTTATGATCCAGCAATTCCACTCCCAGGCATATGCCCAAGAGAAATAAGCATGAACTTTAAAAGACATAAATAAGAATATTCAGGCCAGGTTATTATCAATCCCAAACTGGAAACAGCCCAATGTCCATCAGCATTAGAATGGATAAATGAATAGAGGTATATTCATATAATGGAATACTACCTGATGATTCAAAAGAACAAACCACAGCCCTGGCTGGCGTAGCTCAGTGGATTGAGCGCGGGCTGCGAACCAAAGTGTCGCAGGTTCGATTCCCAGCCAGGGCACATGCCTGGGTTGCAGGCCACGGCCCCCAGCAACCGCACATGGATGTTTCTCTCTCTCTCTCTCTCTTTCTCCCACCCTTCCCTCTCTAAAAGTAAATAAATAAAATCTTTAAAAAAAATTTAAAAAAAGAACAAACCATTGCTACATGCACCAAGATGGGTGATCGTCACAAAAATAATAAGCACAACAAGTATAATCTGGCGAAAACAATCAGGATAATTGAACTCAGAATAGTGATTGCCTCTTTATGGGGGTGGGTATTACCTGGAAAGGAGCATAAAAGGAACTCCTAGCATGCTGGAACTGTTCCATATCTCCATCTGGGTGGTAGTAATGCTGTTATACAGACGTGTGTAAACATATATTGAACTGTGCGCTTGTTTAGTTTACTGTATAGAGATTATATCCTATTGGCCTACTGAGAAAAAATAGATATTGTATATATGTGGATATACATATTTGCCCTGCTAACCTCATGAGGTTGTTGTAAGGCTCCAATGTCTTTTAAAAATGAGATAAACGGATAAGTACAATCTTACATTATTTAAGTAGCTCAATCCCTATTCTTGTTGAAGTTGGTTAGATGCACTACCTGTGGTCCAGGTGATCCATCGGCCTTTTTACGCCTTAGCAAAACACAAAAAGTTAGTTTTATGGAAGCTCATAGTGACTTCTGGACTGGGGAAGGACATGCAGGAACAATCAACTCACTGACAACACACTAGAGCCGACAAAGCATGCAGCTCGGCTTTTGAAAGTGCCTTTTTGCTGATGGTGGATTTGGTGGGCTTTGGAACTCCGAAGAGGGGTTCTGTGCAGCTGCATCTTTCCACCTCACATCCTCACTTTCCTCTCTGTTCCCACTCCCCGCCCCCACCCTCAAGAGAGTAAACACCATCTGTACTACTGCTCTCCCAGCCCCGGAAACAAAAATCTCATCTTCTCATCAAGAAAATTCCCCTCATCTTGAGGTGCCCTCGGCCCCTGGTAAGGAGCCCCAGACCTTCCGACCTTCCGCCAGCTCCAAAGTTTGCCTGCCCTGAATCAACACTCGGAACTGCTCCTGGGCGAACATTCAGGGTCACAGAAGCCTGGGGGTGAGGAGCAGGAATGGAGAGACCCTGCCCAGCCGGTATGATGTGCAAACCCCATTTCTGGGCTGTTAAGTTTTCAACCTTTGAAAAATGCCATGTGTACTGAGCAGTGCACTTCAGGCAGCTAAGTATAAACACATGTCTACAAATATTGATAACACTATCTTATTTGTCCATTACTCAACAAAGCCAGATCACCTGGGGACTGTTTGTTCCTCTACAGAATGAGAATCCAGCACCACATGTATTACAATGTGGGGCATTTTCTTCAGAGCATAAATTTTCAAGAGCCTTTCCTGGTACAGTTGCAGATGCTTACGTATCTTTAACACCAGAACATACAGTTGATTCTAAAATAAAAATCGATAGCCTTTGGGTCACTGTCCCAATTTTTCATAATTAGACCATCTGGTCTGTGATGTGTCTGGTGTCTGGACATTACTATGTCCAGTTTCTAGAGCTCAGAAGTACATGAGATACATTCAGCCACTTGTGGGAATAACGCAGTTATTTCCTCACTGGTTAATTCAACCAGGGTATTCAGAAAATGAATACATGTTTTTAAGAATGAATAAATATAAATTGTGAAGCAATATGCTCATGCAAGAAATGCAGTTCACAATATGTATATTTACCAGAATAAAACATTGTACCAACCCCCCTCAAAAAACTGCCACCCCCGAAAAAACTCCAAAGGCTCAGTATATGGAAGTATCTTACCAAAGATATTCAAATTCAAAATCAATCTTGAATGGAGCTTTCTCAAGAAAAAAAAAGTCCACTAATGTTTGATTTCACACAAGAGATTCTTAGGAAAATGAGCACACACAGGCTGTTCGGTTATAGACAACCTAGTGTCAACAATAAAAATAAAGTTTAAAAAATCAGCTGTGAGAAAAGTTAACTGAGGAAAATGAATTTCAAGGAAACAGCGCTTATTTCTCCTGTTGGTCATTTCTGAAGGAATATTTTGAATTAGAAATGCAGTCAGGCTTTTCTGTTGTCTAAAGATTCTGAATTGCTTCTTAGTAACATTTGCCTGGGATTTCAACTCTATCAGTTGTGATTTTTTTTTCCCCCTCACTGGTCAACTAAGTTTACAGGGAGGGAGAAGTTGGGAAAAATCCACACCAAATCGATTTGTCTCCAGAAAATGCACCTCCACCTTACACTGAGGTTTTTTTCTCACTTGCCTCCTTTTTTTTCCCCTGCCATCCATTCACTTTTCTCTCTTAAAGCAATATGTCAAACTCAAGGAGTAATCCTCAGAACAAAAACATGCCTTGGAAGAGAATCTGAGTTTGAGTGAAACTTCCCTTTGTGCAAACAGCTCCGTCTGTCCCAACGTGGCATCTCATTTACTGGGGCATCCACCACCCGCAAAGAATTGAACTATCCTCCAGTACTTACCTGTCTGCTGAGAGAGCCGTAAGTGTGAAGACAGACACCCCCACTGAGGTAAGCTGTATAAAGGGGATCAGTTTGCAGCCAATCCTGCCGAACAGCCATCTGTCGGCCAGGTACCTGCTGGCATCCACGGGAGCACAGGTCACCAGGAGGAGCAGGTCTCCTAAAGCCAGGCTGGAGATGAACAGGTTTGGTACGTTTCTCATGGACTTCACGGTACAAAAGATCTTGATCAGGGTGATGTTGCCAACAAGGCCTATCAGAATGATGACCCCGTAAATTGCAGGGATGACATAGAGGATGCCCCGGTGGAACCAGTCCTCATTCGCGGGGAGATCCACACTGTGGTTGGAGACGTTGCAGGGCACGGTCTGAAGGAAGCAATCATTGAGAGGCATCCTCTAGATTCTTCCTTTGCCGCCTAACAAGTGTCCTGAGATGCTGTTTCTTAACTTTTGATGTTGCAGTGGGTGAAGATGAAGACAAAATTCTCGGCCAGGCTCTTGTCTTCTTCAATAAAAATACTCTGAGTACATAATAGACTATGGCATTCCACACTGTCTGTCACTATTTTGATGCTGGTGCCGCTCTGGTCTTAAGATGACCAGTGCAATACATTTCTAACTTCAGTGAATAAGGGTTTAGAGTTAAACCCAGTGTGTATCAACTCTTTCTACCCCCATTCCAGTCTGAGTCTCCGCTGCAGTTAACTAAGAACTTTGAGACTGCTATTTCCACGCTGCATTTCCTGTCTTTCCTGATACTTAGAACCTGAAGGTTTAAAGTGGGTTGAAAAAAACTGCACTGAGAAAGCCTCAAATCCTATAGGCAGGATGCTTTGCACGTCACTGGCTTCACTGGCAAACAGCAGCTGTGCTGAACTGAGGTTCTGAAGAGGACCCAGGGCTACTTATAGACAGAGAATGCCAGCCCCCTGCTGGACACTTCAATCACTGCCCAGTCTCTCCACCCTGCTCTCCACCAGCAGACGGGTTCCTATGCTCACAGGGCTTTTTAACAGACACCGTTGGCTTCTCATTTAAAATGCAGTGCCTTTGGTCTAGGCATTTCATTAATGTTGCTAGCACTATGCAAAGCCTCTGGAAATATTTCTGATGCTCTGCTCACGAATCCAGATGGAACGCACATCCCATTTTCTCATCTTTTGCAATGCATTAGGATGACATGTTAGGTAAGGTTGCTATACAATGAGGTCTGTCTCTGAATTAAATGTTCACGGATACACAAGGTGTCCAAACGTGAGCTTGTCCCACTGAGCCTTCCCACTGCCTCTTTGGATGGGGATACTACTGAGGAAAAATGGGCACGAGACTCATGCCTTAAACCTTTAGCGACTGACGTCTTGGAAAACCGGAAGCAGAATCCATACATGCTGTTTCATGTAGGTTTCCCAGGCCATTCTCATTCCCTCTACCAGGAGAAATGGCACCAGCTGCCAGCTGTCTTCTTAACTCTCGAAGATCTTTTCCAGAAAAATGGGTCTTTTCTCACTGGGATTAAACATGACATGAATTGTCATTTTGATGCAGTTATTTGCAATTTTTACTGAATGCTTGCCATGTTTTATGGCACATTCCTGTTAAGCCCTGAGTAGGAGAATGATCTGTAAAGGATCCACAGAGAGAATACTGAGGCATTAGGGCATAGAAAGAAATAACTTAGAGTAGACAGGGTGCCAGAAAAGGCTTTACTGAGGAGGTAGTATTATATCGAATCTTACACCTTTAGCCAACAAGTTACAAGTACATTACAAAGTGGATCCACAAGACTTACGCGTGGAGACAGTTCGATCGCAGGAACATAAGAGGAAACCAGTTAGTACTGTGTATTGCCCCGGAAGGTTTGTTGGGGTTTTTTTTCCCCCAGGATCAACAGGAATAAAGAAGCTTGCATTTATCACCATGCCAGGGCCCAGCAACAAAGCCTCCAACTGTGTTGTCATGGAAATTTTCGGTTATAATCCTGAGATGGCCACCGTGCTCCTTCCATAAATCCAAAGGGTTTGTGCTCCTCTCAGCCAGCAGCAGAGAGTTTGATGCTGCATGCCTGGAGGGGCAGAGCTTCGCGGTGGAGATCAGCATTACCTACCAGTAATGAGTCAATAACCGTGAGCCTAGTGGTGGTCATTAGTTGCCACAAGTATATCTTTTTTTTTTTCATTTTTTAAAAGATTTTATTTATTTATTTTTAGAGAGGGAAGGGAGGGAGAAAGAGAGAGAGAGAGAGAAACATCCATGTGCGGTTGCTGGGGGTCATGGCCTGCAGCCCAGGCATGTGCCCTGACTGGGAATCGAACCTGCGACACTTTGGTTCGCAGCCCGCGCTCAATCCACTGAGCTACGCCAGCCAGGGCCCTTTTTTTTTTTTTCATTTTTGATGTAACCTTCATTGTATTGTATTTTTTCCATTACCATTTAGTCCCTTATACTCCCCGCCCCCCAGCAATCACCACACTGTTGTCTATGTCCGTGAGTCCTGAAGTATATATTTACGCAGTATGTGGACTCTGCTTAAATTCTGCCTCCCTCATTTATTACCTTGGTAAGTTACTGCGTGTCTTAAGCTTCAAGTTCCATGTCTGTAAAGTTGGAATAATTTGAGAATTTGAACAAAATTATCCACGTTAAGACTTCACAATACCTGCTACATAGTAAGTGTTCCATTAATATTGGCCGCTATTACTGTAACTACTATTATTGTTGTGATTGAGACTTTTCTTTTTTTAAAAGATTTTATTTATTAATTACTTTTAGAGAGAGGGAGAGAAACATTGATATAAGAGGGAAACATCAATCAGTTGTCTCTCACACATGCCTTGACCGGGACTGAACCCTCAACTCAGGCGTGTACCCCAGCTGGGCATCAAACCAGCGACCCTTCACCTTGTAGGACAATGCCCAACCAACTGAGCCGCACCAGTCAGGGCTCTTTTTTATTTTATTTCTTTATGGTGATTTTATTTTAGAAAAGCCCAATAAAATCAGGAGAGCAATTAACCTTGGATCAACAGGCAAAAGTTCCTACTTATACACGTAAGTCAGCAACCCCTCCATTTACTGCAAAGACATTTATCAAGCATCTACCACAGCATAAAAGCTTGAGAAAAATCACATGAACATACACGTTATTATAAGACCCATTATGACTCCAACTATCAATTCATAGCCAGAGGACTTGGTTTTAAAAAACAATTAGAAGAAAGGTTTTCGTGTAGGCTCCTGCAAATGCTTCTCTTTGTTCTATACCAGATTAATAATTTTGCTTCTTGAAATTGCTCTGCAGGTTTTCTTCTCTGGTCATTTACGTTTCTTCTTATCAATGACAATGATTGCTTCTGGCATTGTTTTTATTGTCATCATTATTGGATGGATAGCCTTGTATGATTCATGTTAAAATCAGAAGAGTTCACCACCCTCAGCCTGAAACAATTAGGGAGGCATCGAGAATTTTGAAGCAGAGGCAGCAGCAGCCAGCACCTGGCTATAATATTATATTAAACCCGACATCTTTGGGCCTTTTAACCTTCTAAAAGTTCCTTGAATATCATTTAAATAGAAATAATCTCTGTCTTCTTTTTTGAAAAGTCACGATTTAGACCCCGTCCCCTCCCTAGGATGAAGCAATCATCTTTTCTCCAGAGAAGGTGACATTTGATCTTAAAGGTTAAGTGTTCATCCGAACCTTTTGAGTGGAGAGAACAGAATGTTCTTAGGGCGCAGGCATAAAGGAAAGAGCATGGCATTGAGCAGGGGACAGCTACAAGTCCAGAAAAGCCATCTAGATTGGAAGAGACAGGGTGGGAAAAGAACAATGTGAAATGCAGCTAGAGGCAGACTTGGGTGAGATTGTGATGAACCTTGTTTTTCTGTTAAGTTTGGTCCAGAGGGCATAATATCGGTTCACAAACAGGGACTCCTGGATGTTGTTTTTTGTTACTTCTTTAGATACTCCTCAATATTAAGTCAGCCTCACTTCTTAAATCCAACTGGCCCATTAGTTTTTCTTCCCATATAAGTTAAGCCGATACTGATATTGATTTCTCAGGGCTGGTAGTCTTACGTGTTCCACAGCCCTACAGACTTGTTCTAATGATATTTCACGAGTGAAGATAAATTGAGGCGCAACACCTAATATTTTCTGGGAGTAAGGGTGTTTCAAAAAACTAATTACAGAATGTTGATGTCATTGCAACTAATTGGCTGTGATTCTTTCTTTCCCTACCATTATGCATCACCTTCCAGTAGATCACCAAATATTTAGACATTTGCTCAGCTTTTTATTTAATGGTGAGCATGAGATGCCTTTGACCTATGCAAATGACGTAGAACAAATATAGTACAAAGCTCCTGTCCCCAGGGACCCCAGTTTCTGAATAGAATCAGAATGTGACTCAGCATCCTTTCTCATGTGTCAGGGCAGGAATGTCACTTCTCATTCTATTTCAGTCAAGCAATTCACATTTCCCATTCTTCCAGAAAGGGTGCAGCGACTTGGTAGAATTCTGGAGGATATTTGAATTCGACAGGGCCAAAGAAAGTAGAGATAACGTCTCTTCCCACCAGCTGTATGTATGACACTGAGGCTTCCAGTAGTTGGTGTTTTGGGTAGGGTACCAATGAGCATACACAGCCATGATGAATTACTACAGAATGGGTAGAATTTGTAGGTGGAACCGGAGTAAAGAGAAAGGGATTCTCTGGATCTGTTTGAGAGACAGTCTGCCTGGAACAAAGGTTCGAAGGGGATTAATAAATAGAAATAAATGAGGTTAGATCTTCTGGGGAAAACCTGACATTAAGGTTTCAGTTGCACTTCAGCCTATAAGACACTGACTCTTAAGAAATCATCAAGATCACCTGCAGTGCTTCTTGAAAATATCCAAAAGTCCTATCCCAGACCTCCTGAATCAGAGTCTCCAGGGTTGCAACCCAAGAAGCAGTGTTTTCCCACGAGGTCCCCAGGGGGATTCCAGTACTCTTGTAAGATAAGGGTCAGTGGTGCAGACACCGCAATCCAGAGGTCAGGAAAATATGAGTGTTTCTCCTTCTGCAGAAGCAGAGGGTGAACAACAAAGCACACTCAGGAGATTGTTGCTACAACCCAAAGTGTGGTCCTTGAGTCAGCGGCATGGGCATTACCTGAGAGCTTGTTAGAAATACAGAGTCTCAGGCCCCACCCCAGACCTCCTAGATTATAATTTGCATTTTATTTTTTTAAGATTTTATTTATTTCTTTTTAGACAGAGGGGAAGGGAGGGAGAAAGAGAGGGAGAGAAACATCCATGTGTGGTTGCCTCTCACATGGCCCCCTATTGGGGACCTGGCCAGCAACCCAGGCATGTGCCCTGGACTGGGAATCGAACCGGCGACCCTTTGGT